AGCCCTTTTGCGCTCTCTTACTTTCTCTCTCTCTCTCTCTCTCTCTCTCTCTCTCTCTCTCTGTCTCTCTCAGATTCTCGTTTACCCTGCCTCCTCTCCCCCCTCGCCCGCCCGTGTCACACGCGACCGTGTTTCGCGCTATTGTCGTCGGCACGGCACCCTAAACGCGCGCCGCCTCGCAGCGCGAAAACAATATCCGCAGCGATATTGCGTGGGCTCGATAATTCTCCGCTCGGGAAATGCGATTGTTGCCGCTCTCTCCCGCCTACACACCCTCCGAGCGTCGGTGCTCGGGCCCTTCGCACGAGCCGACGTACGTAGGAGCCGGCGTCGCTACCGCGGGGCGGCGAACTTCGCCCCAGGAAGTTGTCGTCGGACGTCGTTACGCAGCTACCTACGCGCGGCGGCGCGAAAACGCCGAGGGATTCCGGCCGGCGCGGCGTGGTGGAGGGAGCGGGAGGAGCAGGGCAGGTTATTGAGTAAAGCGGGACAATGTCGTTTCGACGATGACAAATTGAAGGATAAATCGAAGGTGCGTAGTTCAAAACGCTCCTCCTGCCGTCGACGACGACGACGACGACGACGACGACGACGACGACGACGATGTGTCGCGATCTCGCCGAGTGGCATTGACTCATACACGATGGCCGAAGTGCGACTTTTATCCCGCACGCCACGCGCTCACCCGCGTCTCATTATTCTTCCGGTAATCCGAATCTTGCTCTTTGTCCTTTCCTCTATTCCTCCGCGTCGCTGGGCGCGCGCGCGCGAGGGAGAGAGAGAGAGAGAGAGAGAAGGTTACTCCACTATTAATGCGCGACATAACGACGAAGTGGCGATCAGCGGCGGCGGCGGGAAGAAACGGCGACGGGGGAACGGACTTTGCGCGAGAGAGAACAGTTGTGAGACAATACCGGCGGAATGAATGAATACGTTGATGAATTCGCACAATGAACAGGCAGAAGAGGCAGCAACCCTGGTCTGACAATGGGGCGACAAAAACTCGGCTGTTCTCCGGCGCGGAGACCAAGTCGGAGCGACGGGTCGCGCGAGTGGAGCGAGAAGGAGGGAGAGACAGACAGACAGAGAGAGAGAGAGAGAGAGAGAGGGGGGGGGGGGGGGGGGGGGGGGGGGGAGAGAGAGAGAGAGAGAGAGAGAGAGAGAGAGAGAGAGAGAGAGAGAGAGAGAGAGAGAGACAACGACAACGAGGGATGGCGCGAGAAGGGGTGCCGAAGGGGGGAAGAGAGGCGAGAACGGACGAGACAGAGAGGAAAGAACGTCGGCAGCCGGCCAACGAACCTGCATTATTTGCGAGAGGAAGCGCAACTCTTTCACGCCGAGCGTTTTCGACGCGGCAATTCGGCCGGCAGGGTCGGTAATGACGTCGGGTTCGATCGACAACAAAATTGCCGGACCGATGATATCAGGGCGAGAAAGGCACGACTGCTTGTCGTCAGCGGCGCAGCTTTGCACGCGTGCATTAGCGCCGTGATGGCGATGAAAGACGAAGAGGTGCACTGTTATTAGCCTCGTTCTCGGAAACACTGCAGGTATATTTGCTTCCAGCTGGATCCCAAATGGTTTTCGGCAACAATGACGCATTCTCATTTCGAGACTCGTGTGTCTCTCTCTCTCTCTCTCTCTCTCTCTCTCTCTCTCTCTCTCTCTCTCTCTCTCGCTCTCTCTCTCTCTCCTTCCCTGCGTCTGCGGTCGCGCTGGCGTCTCGTCGATAAGCGAGACGACGATGACGCAACGAGCAAGTCAAGTTCGAGGGAGGATAATAAGTCGCGATGGAGACAAAAGGGCGCGCTTCTCTTGCCCCTCCCCAAAGTTTCTCGGAGCGGAATCTCGCGCCGGAGCGAGAAGTGGCGGTGTTTTCAGCCGAAGCGCTTGTTAGCGAGAATACCGCCGCTCGCGAAGTCGCCGGAGCGAGTGTCTCGATCGAGCAGCCTTCGATTTTCAGCGAAAGTACTTCGCTCGGCGATTCAGAGCGGAAAATTCGCCGAGAGCGAGAGAGAGAAAGAGAGAGAGAGAGAGAGAGAGAGAGAGAGAGAGAGAGAGAGAGAGAGAGAGAGAGAGAGAGAGAGAGAGAGAGAGAGAGAGAGAGAGAGAGAGAGAGAGAGAGAGAGAGAGAGAGAACAGTCCCGTCGGTGCAACTGAATTTTCCGTTGCCTGGGAAGAATAGGAATCAGATGGAAAACTCGGCGGGAAGGAGGAAATGTTTTCTGATCCATTCGGTTTTCTCGAATTTGAGTGGCCGCGCTCCACTTTCCCAGCGAAACTTTTCGCTGCGGGAGACGCGGCGGCGAGAGCGTGACTCGGCGAGGTCGCGAGATCAGGAGAGAAAGAGGGAAACAATCACATCATGACGACACTCGACGACGCGAAGCGCAGATACATGCGTGCCGTTTTACCCGAGACGCGTCACGGAAAACGAGCTTGTAGCAGCGCGCGGCGAATTCTCACGTAGCGAACTCTTACGAGCTCGTCCCGCGTGCGTGCGTGCGTGCGTGCGTGCGTGCGTGCGTGCGTGCGTGAGTCGCGTTGAATTGAATTTCGTAATCACGCCGTTTAATGAGGAAATTCCGCCGGGCGATTCGCCAACATTCCTAGGAGATATCACAATAGCCGCTTGTTAAGATCAATCAACGGCCATCGGTTTATCATCGTGTCCGACTATTAACCCGTTCGTGCTGCAGGATATAATTATTCCGACGACTGGACTGGACGACGGGAGTAACGCGGTGAGAAAGCGACGATTTATAATCGGTCGTAAAAGACATCTTTCCGTGGCGCGCGGCGATTAACGTTTTATACCGCTCGCAGGCTCATTCAGCCGAAGGAGAGAACTCTCTCGTGGCCATTACAATTCCGAACAAATAATGCGTGTGTCGCAACTGTATAATTATGAATACCATTTCCGACGATACCGTTAGGGAAGATAGCCGTTTATGCCTTTCATAAAGATTCCTGGATTCGACGAGCCGGCCGGCCGGCCGGACGGGAAGACGCTGGACAAAAAAAGCTACTGAACGAAGCTATTGTACTTGCTGGGTTGTGCAAGACCACCTCTCTCTCTCTCTCTCTCTCTCTCTCTCTCTCTTTCTCGCCCTCCCTCCCTCTCTCTCTCTCTCTCTTCTCTACCAGGCACTAAACTAACTGGTAAACTCGGGTACGAGAGAAGGGAGGGAGCGGCAAGGTGGAGAGCGGGAGACGCGGCTAAGCTAATAGAATATTAAGCGCGCCCGAGAGAGAGAGAGAGAGAGAGAGAGAGCCCGAGGTACTATTTATATTCCCGAGACACGTACCTAATACGTCCATTTGTCTAGCAATTAAAACGGATGATTGATAGTATCCGCGCGGCGACGTGCCGCGTGACGTCGGCGGGCCGCAACGCGGCCGCGGCGGCGGATGAAACGCGCGGCGTGCTTGCGATTAACGAAACTTACTCGGTCGCCTTACTCGCTCTCACTTTCGCCGCGGTCACGCGATTTCCTCGTCGCGAGGACGCCGTCAACGCGGAATCGCGAGGAAACCCCCCCGAGCCGACGCTCAAGCTCGAGCGCCGCTTATCGCGATGGACATTCTGGACGGGACGCTCGAGCGTCAGGTAGAAATTATGTATATTTATAAGATAATGCGTAACGATAATATCACGATGCGGGGAATGTTAAATTAATGAACGGCGAATGTAATGCGACGCCGCGAGGCGTGTCTTGCCGGCTGAAGGACGCGTGGCGTCGAGACGCCGATAACACACGTATGCGAGCGATTGCCGAGCGATTGTGGTGTGACAAATCACCGATGCGAGGCTCCGTCGGTAGATTTCCCGACTTTTCCGAATCGCGCGATTTCACTCGCGTTACGTTGCTTCGCAATTGCTTCGCCTGTGAGCTCTTTCTCGCTCTGTTTCGAGTCACGTTATTTAATACGCTTACAGACGACGAGTTATACATGAGCTAATACGTCTAACGGCGAGAGACGTACAGGAAGTGTCTCAGAGCCGAAATAACGCACCTGCATTTAGAGCGCAGTGGCTGCGTTCGCTCAGATCTTGAGGGTGGCTCGAGCAAAAAATTAGGTTAGGGCCAAAAATTGTAGGATGCCCTACAAAGGGAAGCCTCATTATTACCACTGTCAGGCGCTGGGATAGATCTTTTATGGATACTTTAAATTTTACGAAATAAGACTTTGATAAGGAAAACTTTGATGAGGACTTTTTAGGGATGCCTTAGATTTTACGGAAAAACGCTTTAATGTGGAAAACTGATGTGGGCCGTAGAAAGATCTTTTAAGGATGCTTTAAATATATAAAATCAAGGTTTGTTATAGAAAATTAATAAGATCTGATGCGTGTAATAAAATTGTCATACTTTTGTATTGTTTTAATAAGTACGCTCTATCTGGTTTTTTTAAAGATTTTTTAATTATATCGCAATTAAAAACAAATTTTTATTAGTTTTATTAGTCGTCATATTCATTAGTCTTTTCCAAGGATTTTTCTAGTACTGCTTTCATTTTCAAATGCAGCAAATTTTAATAAAAACAGTAGCAGAATTTTTATGTGTAAAGAATGCTATATTTTATTGTAAAGTATGCTATATTTTTAAAATAAACATTTTTGTGGTAACTAACAAGGTTATAAAGAAATGAAGAAATTACAGTCTTAATTTTTTGGAATAAAGAGAACGAATATTTTTACTCAAGCAATAATAAAAATATTTCCTTATAAGGCCCTATTAATATTGCCTTATAAGGACCCGTTAAACCATTTGTTACATATCTTGTAGGGCCCTTGTCCTACTAGTACCCTAGTAGGGATAGAAACTCCGATTAATGTTAGGGAAAAATAATTAGGCCTTTACCAGAGCCTTATTAATTTTCCTATTCGGGGTGGAAATTCGATTTTCATCGTTTTCGCTATCTCGAATTCCCGCACTCTCCACACGTTGGTGCCGTGTAACTGCGCGACTAATCAGAGAATCGCTCTTTTGTTTCAGATCTGACGAAGGCCGCACAGCTGCAGGTGCGATTCCGGGGAGGTGCAGTTTCTCGACGAACGCGAATGCTGCAGCGGAGGATCCCCGGTCCGGACCAGGCAGGCTCTCGACTGGAAGGTAATTTAATAGACTTCGATACTCGCGCACATAACCTTTTACGACCGAAAACTGGGACATATGGTTGTCCCAGTAGAAATCGTCCGCTTTACAACGATCGCGAAAAGGTTAATACGTTCGCGCCCGCGAGTGAGTATTTTTCTGGTTAAGCCACCGGTTGGCGGCTGTCGTATCTAATCGGCGACGTGATATTTTCGTAGCGGAACACGGCCGACACGGCCGGAGTTGTCGATATGAGTTGTCGGAAAAATCGGCGCGAGAAGTGATTTAGAGCTTTCAGACGGCGGGCGCTTGTAAAGTGTGTCCTCGAAATCGATGCGATTTATTTGGCTGCCGCGCTGTTGGAGAAATGATCGGTAGTGGCTACAAGCCACGATCATTTCCAAGCGCGACATCGTTTTTTCGTTGTTCCAATGTGGCGGCGGCGCCGATCTCGCCGCGCGAAGGCTGCGTTCGTCTTCTTGCCGCGAGACGCTGCGAGACGCACCTGTATGCACCTGAGGAGATTGTTCTCGCGACATTCTGCGGGATACAGGTAGCGGAAAACGAGTGGAAAAACGAGCGCGCGTCTCTGCAGCAGCGTGCCTGATCCCTGCTGGAGAAATATTGATACACGAAGGTATACATTCCCACGCAACATTTTAATAAGGTACACGTTGCTCAACGCCCGGCATTAAGGCGTTTCTCTGCCGGACGCGCGCGCGCGCGCGCGCGCGCGGAAAGCGACCATTGCGGCATAAAAATGCTCGGCCGCTGAGAACGAGGTAATCAAACGACTGGGCCCGTAGTAACGCGTATCGCGATCGTATCGCGCCCGACGCGCAGTAAAACGCGACGAAATTAGGATATAACGATAACTTCGACACTCGACGCTGCGTGTCGCCGCGGTAAGCGGCGAGAGTAACGACTTCTGTTTACCCTCGCGACTATCTCGCATAATGCGCATGCGACGTACGGAAACAAATGCGAATGCTTACGCTTGAAGATTCTCTCTCTCTCTCTCTCTTTCACACATACGCACGCACACGCCACCTGCTTACGATTCCGCGGCGATAATTTAATAATAAACGAGGGACGTGCGAGAGAACGAACCCCTGCCGTCGCTCGCACCCCGATCGAACATTCTTTCCTCCTGCTCTCGCCTTCTCCCTCTACCCCTCCCCATTCGTGTGTCAAAGCCATCAATATTATATTCAGCCGTGTACGCGCACGCAGGCAGGCACGCGCGCGCGCGCCTCGCAAGAAAATCGCATTAATTTTCGCTAATGGCTCAACTTTAACAATTTGCATGGGATTACAGAAATCCTTTGCTGATGGCGCTCTCGCCGCCTATGCAAATAAATGCTTTCCCGCGGCGACGGCGGCGCGCCGATACGAAACGCTGATCGAATTTCCTTTCGATATTAGGGCAACTTACTTCGAACTGCCACGTAGGCGGAGGAACGACGACCGCGCGACGGAAGATTATAAATAGATATGCGAGCATGCGCGCGCGCGCGCGAGAGAGAGAGAGAGAGAGAGAGAGAGAGAGAGAGAGGGAGGAGGATCCCCGGCTTGCTTTGAGCGTGGAAATTTCACGGCCGCGCGATCAATTAACGGTCGCGACAAAAAGGCGATCGCGAGTAATTAAGAACTCTTGCGCGGCCGATCGTCCCCGGAATAAAACTGACGGTGCGTAACTCTCCGATGGCAACGTGATTGGAGATGTGCTACTTTGCGATACGTTGCACCGAGCATTCTGATTTTCCTGTCTTGAATCGCACGCAGCGCGACGTACAATTGGATTTTTCTGTGGCAGAATCGCCTGCGCTTCAGCCAATCGCGCGCCGCTCAAAGTCGTATTTGCAAGCGCAAAGAATCGCGATTAAAAATCGTGATAGCGATGATGAAATCGCGTTTTCGATACAAAACTGCGACGTTACAATCATCGTGGTTCTTAAAGTTGTGGTTAACAAGCTGGATTTCGCAAAAGCTGGCGGAAAATGGGTATTCCAAGGTTAAGCAATGTCGTTAAGATTTTGCGTTTAGCAATTTCTATAATTTACAGACACAGGGTCGAAAATTTTCAAACTCAAAATAATGCATGAAATAAAACAACGACAAAAATCCTAATTTCATCTCATTAAGAATAAAACTATAGACATTTGTTATGAGAGGAAGTGAAATTAGCAGAAGTGCACAATATTTTTATGTGAAATCGGTGAAGTAGCGAGATAACGAATAAGCATCGTTTAGAATAAGTTATATAATATGCGGAAAACATTTTGTTCCTTTTTATCTATGTTATTGCAAGATTACTCGTCGTTTTGAATTTTTGTCTCTAAGATCCACCGCGTTGAAAAGCGCGGCCTCAAAAATCTCAAGATACAACGTTTCAGCTTTAACATTCTTTTCAGTCTTAAGTCGACCGCGCATTACCGCGTCCGCCACCTTGAATTTCGAATTTCAAAGCCCGCCGCTGAATGGAGCGACCTGAAAAACTTTGGAGCAGTCGATTTCAGAAATACCGAACTACCAGAAATATCGGAACGCGGCTTTTCCGCCGGTCGAGGAGTCGAGAGAGATCGTATCTCGCGGCGCACAATTTCGCAAATCGCGCATCTCTCCGGCCGCGGCTCGAGTGGAAACGGCCAGGCTTTTGCCGGGAAATGCCGTAGTCGAGGACGGCGCAGGTCCGCCTGTCAACACAGGTCACTTCGGACACTATGCCACTTCACACGCCACAACATATCGCCCGTCAATGTTTGCCAATTAGTTCTCCGCCGTGGGATCGCTCGTTCGGCGGTTCGGGCTCGCTCGTGTGAATTACGCCATTACCGTCTCTCGCCTCTCTCGCATTGTCCGGCATTATCCTGCGCGCGCGCGAAATACCTGGCACATGCATCGCGGAATTTATTTCGCTCACGCATCGGCGCGGGAAGGAGGGGGGGGGAGGAGAACGGGAAATATCGTTCTCGTCCCGTAAACGAAATCTGCGAGAGAGGCCCCGAGAGAGAGAGAGAGAGAGAGAGAGAGAGAGAGAGAGAGAGAGAGAGAGAGAGAGAGAGAGAGGCGTACGTTCAACGACCCGCCAATACGCTCATTATCGGTTATTAAGCATATATTAAAAGCCCGGCACTTGATATTGTAATTATCTCGGTTATAAATTGGTTGTCACTTTTTTCTCGCTTAAGGTCGCGCATGATGAATACGTAGATCCTCGGGGGTCCCGTTACACCTTTACCCTTATACATCGACTCCCCCACCTTTCCCTACCCGCACCTCTGCTCATCTCGCGCGGCATACATTAGCCTCTGTGTGCGAGAGACAGAGAGAGAGAGAGAGAGAGAGAAAGAGAGAGAGGATGAGCAACGAACTTCTCGATCCTCTGCAGGATCTTTTGCGCAGCGCTCTTCTCGCACGCCGAGTTTCAGCGGAAGAAGGGAACAAAAAACACATTTATTTCTGTGTACGTGCAAAATATCGCGGATTAATCGTGGATTTTTCAGACGCGATTGTACTGATCGTGCCGTCGTATTAATTTCGCGAGACACAATGCACACGTGACGGACGGCAAAAATTGTGAAATCAGAACGACACGAAAGTACAGACGTACGTTTCGTTTCTCCGTTGCCTGAAAATTGCACGACATGCATGAATATATGCAATCGTACGAAGTTATAATTACACGGAGTAATTATTAACTGTAATCATGCATAATTGCGCGAACTTTGTATATATTTCGCCATAAACGCTCTCTATTCTTTATAATTGCGCATTCATAAAAATCTCTCTCTTTCTCTCTCTCTCTCTCTCTCTCTCTCTCTCTCTCTCTGTGTGTGTGTGTGTGTGTGTGTGTGTGTGTTGACTCGTTAGCGTTAGATATTCGCGCTCGCCGCATCCCCCGTTGGAAAATCGCGCGAAATCGCGACGGCGATTAACTCGAGCCGGCAAAGGCGCAGAGGCAAGGACCTTCGCGTCGCGCGCATCCTGCATGCCGGTAGATATGCGTTGCCGTTTGTTGCCTCGGAAGATTAATAGTTTTCCGTCGCTCCGGGAATGCGCGCCTTATTTTCGTGGACGCGAGCGCGGGCGCGGTCAGCTTTAATCGAGCGTGTCCGCGACCTGCTCTCGGCCACTCGGTGGATATTCGCGTACAGGCATATATATATACACACATCCGCGAGACGACTGGGGCCGGTCAATCCCAACGCGCGGAACATTGTGCTCAGTCCTGCAACGCGCGCGCGTCGGGTCCAACTTTCGAGCCGCCTTTTTCTTTCCTCTGCGCGAACTACTCTGCGGGCTCGCTCTGACGGCGACTTAACGGCAAACCGTTATGATAAGCTTTAATGCACGCCTGTCCGTTCGTCTCGTACGTGTACGTGTACAACCAACCCGATCCGTGACGTAACAATAAAACATTGTTAACGCTGATTGCCCTGCGGTCGCTATACCGTTCGCCCGCTGGAATTTCATGTTGCCGCGTCGGCAGAAAGAGGGAAGGAGAGAGAGAGAGAGAGAGAGAGAGAGAGAGAGAGAGAGAGAGAACGAGGCGGGCTGCGGAGAAGGAAAAGGAGAGATGGAGAGGGAGAGAGGGAGAGAGAGAGAGAGAGAGAGAGAGAGAGGAGAGAGAGAGAGAGAGAGAGAGAGAGAGAGAGAGAAGGAAAGAGAAGGAGAAGGCGCGCACACGCGTGGAAAGCCGACGATGATGACGATAATGATGATGATGACGCCGATCTCGGCGGAATGGACTTTGCACGCGCGCGAGCACACATGTGCTAGAACCTGGTCTAAAAGATACTTACGTCGGGCTCGCTTCGTGTTCGCGCGCGCGGACCTCGGAAGGATTCCATTATATCCAAATGGCGGGAGTTGTACAAATGACGTGGTGAGTTCGGATGCCCCACGGAAGCGGCGGTCCGATGTGGCGATCGGTTACAATGGGTGTGCGGAGCGTCACGTACGGCGCAGCTGGTAAAAATTCGAGCAAGCGCCTCGCTAACGCCGCTAACGGTGTG